ATATAACAAAGTTTAAGCCCTTGCACTATTGAATTCTGTACACATATCTCCTTATAGGTAGGTATCATTTAAATTCAAAAATATGGCTTTGTTACCCGCCCAATCTACCTACTTACACCCCTACTTCTAGACACTTCTCCCAGTACATGATATTAGCCTAATCGCAATCATCATACTAACTTAGGCCCGCAAAGACTCGCGACACACTGCCGAGGACGAGGCTTCGCCCGCTGCCGTTGAGGAATTGATAGCTAAATCCACACACACCAGCGCCAACCCTGGGTCAACTAACTATACTCTGGTATCAGCAAACCAGAGGCCTGTGTATAGGGGAAGCACCCAGAGCAGTGACAAGCCTGTACCAACGGGTATTACTCGGAATTCAGCGAAGCACATGCCGGTACCACCGCGAACCGCCAACAAAGACAAAGCACCCTCCGACAGCACAGGCGTACGGAAAAATTATAGTGGGGTCTCGGCCAAGCGTGTGCCTGTGAATAGAGCATACACACATACGGGCAACGTTCCCATACCAACTGACAGTACTCATGTATCATCTATTAGCCGGCCACCCGCACGCAACGCACCACCAATATCAATGTATCCAACAGTCTCGCCTGTAGACAAGAGAGATGCAGGCATGCGTAGTACACCCACCCTGTTCCCTAGTATAAGTAATCCGGGCTCGGACGACACTAGGCCCAATGCCCACGCCCACGCCCACGCCCACGCCCACGCCGATAGCGCTCCAACCAACTCCTATGCGCAACGCAAACAGAGCCATACACGTTCCCAGCAGCCCGAGGGGTATACCAACAGTACTACCAACGCACCCACCATGGGTGTGTATGGTGGGTTGCTAGAGGATAAATATGCGAATGCGTATCACGCAGTCAGTATCAAAGACCATGCCACGACACAGGCGCACAGCGGAGGGCTTAGCAAAGCCGACGACAGTCTGATGCTGCGACGGTATGCACAGTATCGCAAGCAGAGACAGGCGCAGGGAGACACAGGGGTGGGTGCGATGGAGTTGGGTACGGATATAGGTGGACTCGGTACGGGGGAAATTGGCCTGGGTTCGGATACGAATGCACCAGGGACGGGTAGAAAGGGCTTGAGTGGGAAGGCAGGTACGGTGCAGACAATGGCGCAGGACCGTGCACCTGGTGTAGGGCTGTATGGAAATAGTGCTGTAACAGGACAGAGGGCCCTGCAAACGCACCCGACCGCGCAAATGACTGGGATAACAACAGGAGGCCACGGGAGAGAGACAGCGGGCCTTGCAAGGGAGCCAGTAGCTGTGATGGGAGGTGTAGGTGTTAGGGAGATGGAGACAGATAAGGATGAGGAGAATGACGGGGAGAATGATTCTGAGCTGGATGAGTTGGAGATGACCAAGGAGGAGAAGCAACTGACGGACGAGGCTGAGGCTCTGCTTGCGTCGGCTGAGCGGCTTCTGTCTGGTAGCAGAGGTGCACAGGGCACCGGCACACGCCCACGCACGGCTGTGTCGGTGGGTGTACACAGAGACGACCGTGTCGATGGGGCACGTGAGAAGACTGGGCTGTGCACCGCACGTGAGACTGCCCAGACAAGCTCGACTGCGCCGCTTGAGAGGTCTGTGGGTGTGAACGGACGTGCACCTGTTTCTGCACCTGAGAGGGCCGGGACAAACCCGATTATATCGCATGACAAGCTAGCCGGTGCACCTGGGCCTGTCCGTGGTTGTGGTAACGAGAACGGTGTCACAAGGGCTGCTACGTGTGACGGTGTAGGCGCGCTCAACAGTAACCCTGTGAGTGTACAGCAAGGCAACTGTGATTCACTACCAGGAAGTGCTCCTGTGAGTGTGGGCGAAGGCTCGTGCAGGAAACAGCCAGCACATGAAGAGGCTGTGCGGGTACACAACCCAGCTGTCGAGACAATAAGTAGCAGCACAGGCATAGGTGCAAAGGAGGCCAAGTGGACAAATCAGGGGCATCAGAAAGCAATATCCAGCCCCCGAAGCAGTTTGACTGTGGACGATGCGAGCCTAATCAAGCACGCTAAAAGGACTGGCACATGCACAGACAGTGGGAGCGACAGGAGGAGCGTGTACACACACCCAGAGAAGGAGAGTGGTAGCCAGAGTGCGTGTTCCAACCCAGGCAGAAGTAGTGGCTATCACAGCGAGAGAGATGGGGTGGACGAGGCTGTAGAGGAGGCACGGGTGCAGCAGATAGTCGATCAAGCGGTCAACATGCTGTCTCTGGCGGAGCACTCCTTACTCAGTGCTAAAAATAGACGGAGCTCGGAGACTAAAAATAGAACAGGCGCCGAGACGGGGCCTGTGCCTGCGAAGAGACCGTCGTTTGATGTGTCGATTCTGGTGACGCCGGCTGAGGAAATGGAGAGTGAGGGAATCAATCGAACTAGTCAGCAGATGAGCGCTCAGAATATTGGGCAGTGTGTGGATAGAGATGACGGAGATACGCCCAGAAACAAACAGAACGCGAGTGTTCTTGATGTACGGGCGGGTGTGGGTATGGATGGTGTGGATGTGCACAACCGCAGACAAGAAATGGGGGCTCGGAAGGTGGGCGAGGGGTTGGTAAGAGATGGCGCCTCTGTATGCGGAGGGGAATACAGGGCCGGCACGCTGGGCGGTGTAGGTGTGTACACCTCCTGGACTAGACAGGACAGGCTTACTAACACTCAGCGGTTTCATAGTACCACCACAACACATCAATCCTACAGGCACAGTGGTAGTACAGAACGACAAAGCGGTAGCTCCACCAGCAAAGTACGACAATCCGACAATACCGTGTCGTACATTCGGGTGACCGCGGGGAGAGAGAGTGCTAGTGGTATAACATCGCACGGTGATGGTGCTGAGAAACCGGCACAGAAAGGACTGACACAGCCAGGTGCAGAAACAGGTAGTGCTGAGAAGCAGATAGGAACAGGGGGCATGGGTGGCCACACACTCAGTCGAGCTGTGGGCCCAACGAACCAGCGGTTGCCAGAGACCGCAACATCAACACAGGAAGTAGTCCGTGCGACAACAACCCAGCCTGTTCACACAACCAATAAAACTTACACCACAGGCCAGGGGTTGCATTGCCGGGCAAGTGAGGTTCAAGCTAAGGCGACTGTGCATGTGGGGGTGGATATGGTAGCTGCCGAAGGTCCGATGGAGGTCGATGTCAGGGCATGTGACCAGGACAGGCCAAGTCAGACATCTATACCGCCAGCAGCTGGCTCGGGATCAGAGGTACCTTTGTGTAGTGAATCTGTTGTGTATCTCCAGAGTTTTGTGTCATCTAGTAGATGCGTGTGTTTTATTCTTTTTTCTTCTGGTAGGGTAATGGATGTCGCATCGCTAGTTAGTCTGATATTGGTACTACCGCAGAGTTGAGATGGCTTGAAGACGTATTTATCCTCTTAGGATCTAGGATGCAACTTCATAACGTCAACGAGGTCTACAGGCTCTCACTGCCCAGAACGTGGCAATAAATTTTCCCTTGCTTTCAATCATTCCCCCCGCCTTGTTGAGGCACACACTCGCCCCGCACTCGGATCAGAGCAGCACCTGATGTTGCTAACACCGAACTAGCGGACCTGTAGGGCGCTCTATTTATGTTTTCTAGTTTAGTGCTCCAACCCACGGCATAGGACGCTATACCGAAGTGCACATCAATTGTGTGGGCACTAACTGTTACTATGCCTGCTTCACACTCAGATCAGGGCAGCACCTGATATGGCTAACACCAGCCTAACGGACCTGGAGGAGTCGTTCAATCGGATGCTGGATTCCTACAGATCTCCGATTATTGAGACAGGACAACCGAAACAGGCCAGAGACGAAGCGCGATGTTTGGACAAAGATGAACCAAAAAATATTGTCGGAAGACCCGGACCTGTGACCCAAAAACCGGAATCTGGGGGCAGTCAGTCGGTTAGTAGGAGTGACCGACCCACGCCCATGAGTATCGGACAGACACCGAAAGACGCACAGCCAGGGCCGCACTCGGCTGCGCCAGACACACACGTACACACACACGCACACACGAACGGTACACATGGGTATAGCTCAGTATCACCAGTAGGTGGGAACCTGGCAGTAAGACCAGGACAGCACTCGACTATGGACGCACAGAGCGAGAGTCGTATAAAGAAGTCTACGCCACACCATCGTGTGGGTGTGCTGATGTATTCGAACGGAGGCACCGAGCTAGTGCGTGCGCATGCAGCAGATACACACACGAGCACACTCAGAAGTGAACGGGTTAGCGTCCAGGGGGCAGTCCCAACCAGGGCGCCTCAGGTGCATGGTTTAGGTGCACGTGGCCATTTACCAGACACTCAAATACTGTATCGTGAACAGAAGGGACTTCAGCAAGTCCGTAGGGATGACTTGGATCTCCCTACCCAGTCTACGGACGAGAAGTGGAATGGGGTTGGGGACAAAGCGGGAGCGGGCGGTGCAAAGAAAGTCCCCGAAGCTGCTGCCAGGGCTAGAGCTTTGGAAGGGGCTGACTTGTCGGCTCAAACACAGGGCTCGCGCACGGATACGGCTACAGTGCATGTACAGGTAACAGCTGACGAACCCGAGAAGTATGATGATAGTGTGAATATGAGAGTGTTCAAGGCGCCTCCCTCACTTGCTATGGACACACGCACACGTGCGACAGGAAACACACACCCGTACATAGGTGGTGCTACTACTAGCACACAATATCCATGGTTGAGACCATCGGCCAATCATAATGCCGGGGTTGTATCACTGCCCGTTCAGATTGCAGCATTGGCATCCGAAGAGTGTATAGCATTGCCCAACCAACATGCCAGGTCGACGGCCTCCACCAATCGGATCGCAGGATACGAGTCACTGGCCAGACTGATTACGGGCAAAATCACCGCCCATGGTAATGATCCGTTGCGTTGTACAGGAGCCGAATCAAGTAGCATTGTAACCATGACAACTGTAGTTGACAAAAAGAAGGAGACACAGAAGCAGAAGATTTGGGCGGTAGATGCACTCAACGCCACGAGTGCTCGTACAGACTCCAGTATGGCCAGCGAGAATCAGAGAACGGTGTGTGTGGGTAATGGGCCGGAACAAGCGGAGCACAGGGAGAGGGACATGGCTGATGAGATTGGTACTGAGACAAGTGCTAGTGTGACAGGTGGAAACGGGGGTACCGTGCACGTAGGTGGTGGGGCAGAGCGGGAGAGTAGTCGTAGTTTAGGTACACCCACAGCCACTGGTACACCCAATGAACACCGAATTTGTGGAACGGGCCAAAGAGAGGATAGCACCGTGTACCTAAATTATGGAACTGACCAGAAAAAGGACCGGACCACTCCCCGGCGAAAACAGGTGAGGTCCAGCGGTAAAGCAACAAGGAAAAGTAGAAGACTGTCTGGAATTGCGCCTATGAGTGAGGCGGAAGTCATACGCCGATACGACACTACACCACAGAAATCGGACAGATACGCCCCCACGCCAAAGAAATCGGACACAAGGTCGGATAAAGCCAGTGGAATGTCAACTCGCTCCGGTCTGAAGAAGGGCTTGCGGAGCAGCAAGAAGAAGGGCACACCCAAAACTGCAGGAACAAGTATCCAACGCAGCAAATCCGCAAAGAGAGGTACAAACACCTCAGACAGCACACCCCGCATTACAAGGTCTGCGGCAAAGGCTATGCTCAGCATGTACGGTGGCACGGGGGATGGGGACACATACGTGAACGATTCGCAGGACGATCTCAACTGTACCGTGATGCAGTATCCGTCCGTCTCTGCCAGGAAGAAGGCGAGTGTAACCGAGCTTAAGAAGGGTCTGTACAGTGATGCCAATGTTCCTGGGAATGTACAGGACAAGCCCTTGATACGGCAACGGGGTGGGGTGAATGAGGAATTCGGACATCCGCCTCACCTTGAGGGGCAAAATGTGGGCCAGAGCGATAGTGGTCGAATGGGTGCAGCACCGAAGGTGGACTATGGGAACCGAGGTGGCCCGATCACTCGAACCAAATTTATTTCTCCGGGTGTAGTGGCGGACAAAATGCACATCGAGAACAGTACCAATGTTGGGGGTGAGCTGCGGGGTAGCGGAGACACACTTCGGAACATTTGCGGCGAGGATGTGCATGCATCGGACAACGAATACGTGCGTGTAAGCACAGCGCCTGTGCTTGGCAGAAGAGAGTTGAATGTGAGAGTAAGTCCCCGGAACGACGTAGCACTGCAGAAGAAGGTGTCGGCTGAGAATCTAATGGCTCTGATTGGGCGCAAGCTAACGGGCGAGCGCGCGGAGATGAGCCAACAAGGTGTACCTATGCCGGGTAAGGCTAAGGCAGGTATATCTAAGCAAGGTATGGTGGGGGACGGTCCAAGTCCGCGGGGTGCGTACTTTGACCAGGAAGGGCACTTTGACGCGCATAGTACCAGCGCCAAAGGGGCAAACGATAGTGTGGGGCATACGGGTATGTATAAAGATGTACCTACGCGGAGATATAACGCAAACGGATCAGAGAAAGAGAACATGTGATCGTTTAGCTCTGCTGTGACGAAAACAAACACTCAGTGGAATGGTGCGAGAAATCGAAAAATAATTTGAAACCAAAAACCACCGCGCCACAAAGGCAATCCTAGATCGAACATTGTAATTTTGGGTGTAGCCTGTTGTCCAATTCAGGTCAAGTAACCACCCACTAAGAGTCTCACACAAACATTAAACTCATAATTGATTCTTGTACACCATCTGGAAAGTCTGTGCTTGCCTTTATACTTTGCTCGCCGTCCTGCTACTGGTGTATCGCCTTCGCCCGCTGTCGCTACTACACGCACTAGCGCTGCTATCCGAATGGGAGACCTCGTCCTCTGAGTCTATCTCCCCCCCACTCACCACACCCAGCCTTACGCGCGGTTTTCTACTGCGTTTACTGGGGGTAGGCACTCTAGTACTTTTGGGGGTCTCCTTTGGCTCGGACTGTGCAGCTGGATGCGATATCTCCACATCCGGTAAACTGGTTGGGGTGTAGGTATCTGTTCTATTATTAGCCTCTTCGCAACCCCCCTCTGCACTGTTCTCGTCAGCCATACCTACCTCGTCCATCCCCCTACCTCCGCTCTCCTCAGTCCACGACGGTATCGACTCCACCGCCGAAAGCTCCCCACCCGAGCCCGGCTTCACCACACTCATCGCCGTAAACCGCTTGTTGCAGCCCAGACACTTCCTGCTTGCCTTCTCTCTCTCTCTCCTCTCCCGATCCATGCGTTTGCACTCATCTGCGCTGTACACTGCCCTCTTGAGTGCCGTGGCCGAGGGACGGCGTGCTGCTGTGCGTGGCTGGTATTCGCCTGGCAGTAGTTCGTAGGCGCGTGTCAGTAGCACTACCTTGAGGTAGTCTATGGGGGTGTCGTACATCTCATGCAGGTGGTTGATCACCAGGCGGCCGTTCTTCTTGATCTCTTTGTCGTATTTGTGTTTAAGTACCTGGGAGTGTAGTGAGTAGTGAGGATTAAATCCGAGGATAGTGAGACGTAGATTTTTGTACGGTATTCCTACCCAGATGTCAGTAAGTCGTCTACACAAATATCATGTAAGACGTATTGTTTTCAGGGTTGTATTTTATTCACTAGCTCATGGAGATATATTTGTCAGTGATATCTACTGGGCCGAATAAACAGTAGACATTACTGACATCAGTGAAAGTTCCTTTACAGGTTATTCATTGTTTACTAAGAAGGTACAGCGATACATACACGAACAATATTGTAGAATACATTGAAAAAGACAAAAAGTGCAGGAGATATACATGCACTGTAAGCACGATAGTGTAGGATATGTACAACTACGATAGTACAGGCATCATACACGTACAAAAAGTAAAGAAAGAGTGGTCAGTAGCCAACCTACAAATCTGCCACCCTGTAGTGCCTGGCCTATAGTTGACACACACCAAATTAATTCCTATACCTACCAATGTTCTCGGTATATGGTTAGATGGATACTAACTATATGGAGACTATATTGTGTACTCAAGCATGGATGACAGGTTCATACTGAAGCAACAAACCGTGGTCGCTTACGACTGCGTGCACAAAACAGTAAGTCGAATGCGTGACCAACTAATGCAAGGACAGCGAAGAAGCAAACCGCGACACAGCGAGTCAACAGTGGGATGTATCCGTTTCACCATACTATTTGCATGTGCCAGAATACATGAGTGCGTCTACCCCACATGAGTACCACTACCATACCGGCCTACTACAAGACAGACGCGGTACGCATCGGCTTATTCACTATATACATATACATATATATATATATATATATATATATACGTTCTCAATGTTTTTATTAAGAAAACCAACCCCTAACATGATTCCCTTCTGATGTGTGGTTTATTAGTAAACAATGATACCATGCCTGCACCAACTAGTGCGATGTTAATTGTCGCAGAGACGATCTGACTACTCCTCCGAAGCACTATTCATTATACTACCATACCATGTCAACACAACAATTGCGTAGGAGTCTGCATTTAAAACAGTCTGATTGCATTAAAATCACTTTATCGCTGCATAAAATCCGTGGCAGAGCTCACGACCATCACGATATATATACATACATACATACATATATATATATATA